CTTCACCCAACTGTACTTTATCTCAATGTCCTTGGCCAGCCATTTGAATTTTTTCCTTTCATTGCTGTAACTCCACGTACCAGCCTTGTCTTTTAACCAACCAACTACCACCTTCAATTACAAGCCTCCTTATGTTCAATTCTTTTGCTCTTTGGATTCCTTCCAATGCAGCATAAACCTCAGCCCTAAGAGAGTCAGTCGCCTTCACCAATTGGTCCTGAGAAAATTGCTGAAACATTCCCATCCTCATTCCTAAAGACTCCCCCAATACCTGATTGTCCTGGATTCCCTCTACTACTACCATCAAAGTTCAGTTTTACAAAGCCAGTAGGGGGAGGTATCCAGGAAGGATTTATAGTCCTTTTAACCTGGGCAGAAATAGCTACTTTCCAATTTCTCAGCAAATCTTCCAAAGTAACACTAGAGAAAAGATCTGAAGATTTCAGCCAATGGGCCACCCTTACATGGATTAGCTCTATTAAAGTTTCAGCACTTCTCTCCTTTTCTGAGAATATTCTTCATTTTCTTTCTTCCCACAAAGCTCAGCAAACAGCAGCCCTTATTAGCAAATTGAAGATGTGTCAACACACTCAACACCACTTCTTCTTCCACTAGATAAGATGAAGTTATTAGCAAACAGACGATGTGTCAACATACTCAACACCACATCCTCTTTCCCCACTCTCCAACATCTAATTAATTGCATCCTATCCACTTTGATTATCAATCTACCAACTTACCAAGAATATCAGCCACCAAAGTAAAGAAAAAGGGAAAAGTGGATCTCCTTGCCTTAGACCCATCTCTGCAAGAAAGAAATCCCTTACTACGTCAATCAACAGGGTTGAGTAATGGAAGGTTTGTAGACATGACAGATGGTGGTTGTGGCGATAATCACTTTATGAAAAGGTGTGGTGATAAAGTGGTGTCAAACGTTGATTGCATCTACGTCAATCCCCACTGCACTTTTAAGCAAGTGGTAGTAGCATTTCCCCTGGAGAATGACAGATTGTGGCATAAAGTGGTGTCAAGTATTCATGGGCTTTCTAGGAACAGTTGGGATGCTGGTATTCTGCAAAGAGCTAACAATGCTACACCGTGGAAAGCAATGCATGGTATTCTTCCTCAATTCCTTGAGCACATCAGGTATGACTTGGCCTCTGGTTTTAGGATCAGATTTTGGGAAGATGCATGGGTTGGGGATCTTCCCTTGAAAGTGGTGTTTCCTTCATTGTATGCTCTTTCAAGCCTTAAAGATAATCATGTTTCTAATTTTTTTAGGTCTTCTTCTTCCCCTAGGGAGGGTTGGAACTTGGAGTTTGTGAGATACCTGAGAGAATCTGAAATTCCTGCTATGTCTAACCTCTTGAATATCTTGGATAACTTGGTTTTTGATGAGTCTGGGGGAAGATAGACGCGTGCGGAATCTTATCCCCTCTGGATCTTTCACTTGTAAATCATTTTTCTCTTCACTAGTGGCCTTTCCCCCTCCCCATCCTTTCCTTGTTAAAGAAGTCCGGTGTGCCCCTGTCCCGCAAAAAATCAGTGCTTTCTATTGGGAAGCTTATTATGAGAGCATCAACACGGGTGATCTGTTGCAAAAGAAAATGCCAAATTGGTGTTTGTGTAAGTTGAATGGTGAGAGTGTTATGCATCTCTTTATTTCCTGCCCTCTTGCTTGTTGTATTTGGGATTGGTTCTACTCTCTCTTTGGTTCCAGGTGGAGCCCTCCTGTTAGTTTGAAAAGTCTCTTTAGCCCATCCTTCTTGAGATGCACAAAAAGAAGAGGTAGAATTTTGTGGAAGTGTGCAAGAGCAGCGATCGTGTGGACTTTGTGGGAAGAAAGGAACTTAAGAATTTTTTAGGATAAAGAAAGAAACAAGTAATCTTGGAGATTATTACTGTTAGAGTTGCTCATTGGGTGAGGACTTTGAAGCTTTTCTCTGATTTTTCAGTGGAGAACTTTTTCTGAAACTGGAGGTTGATTGTTTTCTCTTCATCTAGGAATCGAAAGGTCTTGAAGGTTTGGTCTCCCCAAAGTGAAGGCTGGAAGAAACTTAACTTCAATGGAAGTAGTTTTGGTAATCCAGATCCCTCTGGAATTAGAGGAGTAATTAGGGATGGGAGTGGGATCATCTGTGGCTTGTTTTCGAGGTCTATTGGGCAGGGTGATTCAGTGAGAGCTGAGCTCTTGGCGGCCATTGTTGGGGTGCAAAAAGCCAAGGAAATGGGAATTACAAGATTAATAGTAAAAGGAGATTCTAAAAGAGTCATTGGCTGGCTGAAAAAAAAATGAGAAGGGTATTATGGCAATTCAGAAATGATCTCAGGCGGTTCAAGCTGCTGTCAAGACATATGCAAATCCAGTTAAGATGGGTGAGGAGGTCTTCTAATTGTTTGGCGGATGGCTTAGCTAAACAAGGCGTGAATAGACATCATTTGTTTTGGGCTCAATGGTAGTTGGGTAGCGAGGCTCTCTGTCGTATTGGGTGTTATCTCTAACAACTTCTTGTTGTACTATTCTCCTTTTAAGTTCTAATAAATCTCTTTAAGTTGCTGATCAAAAAAAAAAGGGTTGTAGACATCCTTTAATCCATTTACACCCTCTCTCCCCAAACCCACACCTCTTGAGAACTTCAAAAATTCCCAATCTACTAGATCATATTCTTTTTCCAGATCCTACTTACACACCAATAGGGGTGTCAATGGACCAGTTTTGGTTGGACCCCGTCCAAATCAAAATCAATTTCGACGGATGGACAGACCAATAAGAGATATTGAATTGGACCAGTTCAGACTTAATGATCCAAAGTATTTATTGAATTGGATCGGACCTGGTCCATCCGTAATAGATTTATATTGGATTGGGTCGAATTGAACCAAAATCTAGTCCATTAAGAATATATCTGTCAATGGTACAGGTTTGGGTTGGAAATTTGGAATCAATCTAAATTAAAACCAATTTGAACAGATTGGATGGTCCAGATAATGAATTGGACCGGTTCAAACTATACATCAAAATGGATTGGACCTGGTCCATTTGTAATGGACTCATATTAGACTAGATCGGGTTGGACCAAATCCAGTCCAATTGACACCCCTACACACAAGTCCCTTCCTTCTAGATATTCTCATTTCCTTAACACTTTCATTTGCTATAAGAATTTTTTTTATCAATAACAACAGATTTCATTAAATAATGATAAGGTCATTTGCTAAAAGAATTTGATACATAATCTACTTATACCCAAGATTTATAATTCAAACTAATTTTCTTTGGATCAACAACCAACCATTTTATCTACACAGTAGAGAGATAAAAAAGCTTTTATCTACACATTCATTCTTTTCTTACAACTGTGCCTAAAAAAGTGATCTCTCCACACCTTATACATCATCCATACTCTTTTCTAACCTTTGTACCCATTCAAACCTCATTTCCATCTCTCTAGTCACCCATCTAAATTTTTTTAATTCATTTCTGTACTATCAAAGAGCTGCCTCTCCAATCTACAGCCACTCCATCACCATTTTTTAATCTCCTTCAATAATTAGCTTGTTGAAGTCCGTCATCCTTGCCCTTTGTACACCTTCCATGATAGCCATGACCTCAGCTCTTAGACAGTCTCCTACTCCAATCAGACCTGAAAACAGAACCATTATATGACCTTCTGCATCCCCAAAAATACTTCCTATCCCTGACGGTCCTGGATATCTCATACTGCTTCCATTAAAATTAAGCTTGAACTTGATGTAGGTTGTATCTTAAATAATTCAACCTATGTAAAACTAGAACCTGCCAAGCTACAACCTTCACATTGACACAATGCTACAACCAATTGAGCTAATAAGCTTTTAGAAATATTTTACTTCTTTCAGAATATAGATTTTCATATTATTATGTAATAAGATTTCTCTTTAATTTTTCTTAAAAGTGGCAACTAATTGAATTCGGGCATACTCCTCGCCTTGCACCTCACACCTTATGCTCTAGGAACCCTGTGTTTTTTACTTGCACTTCCAACCTTTAAAACACTGACTGTGAGCAAGTGTTGAACTTCCAAAGAACAGCCAAAATTTGAGGGGCATTCACGAGTAACTGAAAACATTATTTATGCACAATGCTTTAGATATATTTAAGGAAGCCCACCACTAATAAACTCATCATCCTGCTCAGTCTAATGACCATAGAGTGGAATTTTAACTATGGAGTTGTAGTAACTAGTACATAGATGTATACTCTAAGACCATGAAGTCTGCATGTATGTTTAGGTACAAAGAGAGGAGTTTGAATAATCTCTTCCGTGAGGATTTCAAGATTCGATCTATCAAAAAAGAAAAAGAAAAAAAAAAGATTCCAAGCTTTCTGATGTATGGAAAAGGGTAGTAGAAATATAACACTAAAAATCAAAGCCGATAGTAAATAAAGCAAAAGTGTTGGTAATTTTTTACCAATAACAAGATGAAGATTGTTCACTAGTGTCAATGTTTAGCACACCAAACTTCCATTCTACAGGGGAAAAAAAACATATTTTGTGAAGTTGACGTCTAAGGAATTTAAAGCAAAAACTGAATTCAAATGTCATTAACGGAACTGCTCATACACGCCTTGTATTCATTAACAAACAAAAAAAAAATTGAGTTGACCATTATTCTACCCAGACGAAGTTTAGCTACCTAATAACCACTGAATTGAATCTATTCCCCAATAAACAATAAAATTGTAGCAACCCAGTGTCCCATCCTGCGCAGGATCCACACCGCATTGTTGCATTCCACCCTCAATCCATATACTCTTCTTAAAATCCATCAAGAAATCGCATTTTCAAGTCATTCCCATTCCAAATTTTCAGATTTCGATTCCGCTTCTTCAATTTCATAACCCAACATACAAGACAAATAACATAATCAAAACTATCTAATTAAATACGAAAACCCCCGAATCAAAATAAAAAACAGAAACAAACAAGTTTCAAATCAGAAGCAGCAGCAATTCATACCTGCGAAAATGCAATGGCAGCGATAGAACCATCGACACAAGCAAGCACCACATTAACGACTACCAGGACCGGTGGAAAGCATCGGCCGTTCTCCAATGTGAACAGCATCTCCCAATAACGCATGCACGGAGACACCCTGAATAATCTCCTCCCCTTCCCCCACTCCCAAGTCCCACCCCCCACCCCCTCTCTCTCTCTCTCTCTTCTGTGGCTGACGATGCTGTTTGTTTTCTAAGTACGGTCAGAGTACGGTTCCGAAAGAAGAATCTTACAAAAGTTCTTGCCTCCCCCCTCCCCCCTCTCTCTCCCTGTCTCTCTTTCTCTCTCTGTCTCTGCAGATCTGCTCCTTCGATTCGCTTTTCTGTCCTCTGGTCATGGAAGAGCTAAGAAGAGAGTGCTCGGGGACAAATTTGAACCGAACGAGGTTTAGTGAATTTTGGCTTTCAAGTAGGGGCATTTTCGGCAAAATGGAGTCATCAAAGTCTGTGTCCTTGGAGTTGGAGATGCTCATGGTCTTGTCGGATACTCCCACGTGGCATGCTCTCACCGTGGAGGATCCTCGATCCGTTACAACAATGACATCTATTCCCTAGCACCCACGTAGCCCAAACGCCGATTCCAGGTTTGTAACACTCTCTCTCAGGTAGATCGCAATTATGGTCTACGAAACAAAGAGCTGGGCCCCACCGAAAAGATCCTATAGGCCCAAAATCGTGCAAGTGGTCCAGTTAAAACACGTCACATCAAACGAAAAAACATTTTTAGTTTATTATATTAATTTTATTAAAAACGTTTTATTTGCTAGTGGGGACCCCTGCATGAAGTATTGTTCTCAACCGTCCGATTGGAATTCAGGGTGGCGCTATGAAAATTTAGTTGGTCCTAGCAGTACCACGGCATAAATTTTGCCGTTTGGGACAATATTCTAAGGCCGACATCCATTTTTTTTTTTCACGTGGATGGTTCAAAGTGGCCAAGGCGGCCACGGTGGCCGGGCCCACAGTAGACTCGGAATAAGGTCGTGGCCCGGATTGAGAAATTTCACGCGTGGCCCAACTATACAAGTTGCGGAAAAAGGCATGACCTTTGACACAACATGTTGCCATAGGATGGAACATTGATTTTTAGTCAATCTAAAGGTGTCTATTTGTGGGACCTATGTTTTGATTTGAAATACCAACTCCAAGTTGTCTTTGACTAGATTGAAAGAATGATGGTGAAGGTGTACCAATTGTATCCTTGGTTTGTAATTTGTATCATCGGATGGTTAGAATAAGTGGATTAGAGTTTAAATAAGACCCCTAAAATGGTATTTGGGCTTGCTGGGTTGTGTTGGGGTAATTTGATGGGGCTATCGATTGCCACTTGGCAAAATTTTTTTCTAATAAACCTGGCAAAGCTTAAAAAACTAACCGGCCCAAGCCCACCTCTTTTAAAGAGAGACGCCTTTCATGGTGGAGCCAAGAATTTTTTATGAGGGGGGTCAAAACTTATGAATGGCCATGGGGGATGATGGCTCCTCTAGGTCCCCCTTGGCTCCACCCCTTATGTCTTTGAAACAAGCTACATTTAATGGACCCGATGTATTTGGTTTGATATAAAATAAGGAAGAAATTTTTAAATTGATAAAAAAATTAACTAATAAATTTTGTGAAACTAAAGTAAATTTGCATTTTAGTTGTTATTATTAGAGATGTAGCAAGACATTATTTATCTCTACTAAAATTATTAAGTTTGTTGTTAGATTCCAGGCAAATTCATTCTTATGATATAACAAAACCTTAGGTGAGAATTGCAATAAACAAAATTGAAGAATTTCCAAAAAAACCTTTGTGAAACAATAACAATTTAGATTGAAAGAAACAAGAGTATTCTATAATGTGAGTAGTGTAAGAAATGGATTAAATTACACCCATTTTATAGATTTTAGAGAGTTACCATAAAAAACTAACAATTGAAGAGGCTCTTCGTACAACCACATATATGAATTATGTGACTATTCACAGATAGTTAACAGTTAATGACCGTCAATATTTAAATGTTGTCCCTTGATCATACTCGATTAATTCATGACTATTGGATTTTACTTAAAATGTAAATGGTCACGTTCCTATAAGAGTTTTATCTCACCTTTGCACAAGCATGTGTGATTTGTAATTTTCATTGTATTTACACTTATGATTTATGATTGTATTTGTTTCTACGGTTTAGATTTGAAATTCAATTTAATTTGCAATGAGGATTTGTGTTGACAATCTTACCTATGATGGGTCACGCCGTCTCATCTCCAACTTTAACACACTTTCATTTTGAGTGTTGTCTCAAAATATAGAACCCCCTTATGTAGGACTGCGTGATTAGTGCGAGCAAAATGCACCTCTAAAGCACCTAAACATATTATACACACATGTGCACACATGCACAGACGTTATGTAATTACAAATCTATATATTCTCCCTGTCACACTTCTAAGGAGTGTAAATAAGCTCATATTTAAAAGCTCAAAACAAATCTTGTAAATTTTCAATGTGGGGACAATGTATAAAAAAGGAAAATAAAAGACAAATGAGAGTTTTGGTGGGGATTTTGAAAACCACTTTTCAAAGTGCATATGAAAGTGTGCTCAACTATGTAATCAATTAATCAAACACCCATGGAATTTAGTTTCTAATGAGATTATAATCCAATAATTACCATGCATTTATATCAAGGTCTGACTTTCTTTTTATCTTGACAAAAAAAATTGAAAGAAAGTTCTTATAAAATTTTGTGAAATTAAAATAAACTTACATCATAATTATCACTGCCAATTTGTATCAATATATATCTCTCATAGTCATTATTGAATCAATTGTAGAAATGTAATGAACCAGAGTTCAACAATAAAGTTGTGTTTGGTTTGATACAAAATAAGAAAGAAGAAAAAATCTAAGAGAAGTTGCAATCAATATTCTCAAGTGGAGGAAGCCCAAGAAAGAATATCTAACAACAAGAGATGTTGTAACAATCGATGATCAAAGCAACAAAATAGCACTAATTCCTCAGTTTTGCAACCCACAAAAGGCAAAATGGCCTTAACCTTTACTCACGTATAAGGTTGTAATCAGATCGAACTCGGATCGGATGTAACAAAATCTATATCCGATCTGATTACTAAGAACCTACAACCGAATCCAAACGGATTTAAAGGCTCATATTCGAATTCGAATCCTAATGGACTCGGATTGAATTCAGATTTAATTTGACTCCATTATAAATTTTCTAAAATACCAAAAAAATTAAAATTTTATTTATTTTTCAACTCTATATGTAATAAATCAATCGGATCATATGGGTCAAATCAGAATCCGATTCAATTACATAAATACATCATTTGAATCCAAGATAATCAGACCGGGTCTCAGATTTTTGGGTATCATTGACAGGCCTACTCACATAGGTGGTCATAAGAATTAGGGATTTCTCTATGTCTCTAGAACAAGACTGACAAGAAATAAGAGGAGATATAGGCCTACTCACATAGGTGGTCATAAGAATTAGGGATTTATCTATGTCTCTATAACAAGACTAACAAGAAATAAGAGGAAAATAACCAAAGATGCCTAAAGGCAACCACCTAGTTGTATTTAACATTCAAAAGATGATTTGTTATAAATCTAGTCTGCCTTCTATAATGCTAATAGAGAAGAAATACTATAAACTTCATTGTCCAAGCCTCGTAATGAAATAGATAAACAAAAGGGTGGTTGAAATGAGCAAACAAATATAAACTTATAAGGGAAACTACCGATTGGTGGAGTTTGACACATGTGCCGGATGTTAGGCTACACCTCGATGGGGAATCTATTGGTGGGCCAACTCACAGATACAAGGTGCAATGAATCTCAATTTGGGACTCATCAATTTTCTTGCTTATATATTGCCATTACCTTAGGTTGTGAATCTGTTGTCTTTACGGTTTGAGTGAGGTTGCATTGTAGTAATAGAAAATTGTAGTACAAAACAACTAGTAATCTCATTTTGAATCTATTCATAGCCTTCTTTGTAATCTTATTTGTATTTTCAAACCTTATTACAATAGGGCTTGTTCTAAAATCTTTCTCATCACTGTGGTATGTAATTTCAACAATCTTGGAATTCATGAGTTTTTGCGAGTTTTCCATCATAACTTACAATCACATGGTCTATGTTACTAATTGTACAACAGTCTTGGGCCTCGCCGTATGCATAGGTGTCATTATTGATTGCATTGCAACCATTATTGTCTTCATCGTGTATGCTACCATCCTCATCACACGCTTGGGTAATGCACGTCGCATCGATTATGCCCCCATGATCCTGGTTCTCATAATCTACAATTATGTTCTTCTTGTCCACAATCTTCTCAAATTCAATAAACTTGCAATCAATAGGGTTTGTGACTTTGTAAGGTGCATCATCCTCCTTGGGTTAAGAGAACCTCATCTTTAAGCTTGAATCTTTGCATGTGTTAATCTCACACTTGACATGATTCATCCTTTCACCATGAATCTGGATTTCGTGAATCTACGTAAACTCCTTGAGATTGATCAATATTCCAACATCGTCATTGAGTTGGTCATTGTTTTGTGAAATCTTAGCGAAACCATACTTAATTGGCGCTGTCATGCATCTAATGTTGGTATGGTTCTTTTAGCTCAATGCACTTATTATTTGATCTTGACTGAAATATGATCATCTAGTGATGATTATACATAAAAATCACCTAATAAATATAGAATGTAAAAATTAAATATTTAACAAACCCTAATGCTAAAATTTTATAACATAAGATAATTGATTTCTCTCTTGAATCATTTTGGTCCATTGGATTAAGAAATATTAAATCTTTAAATTCGAGATTAGTTTAATATATGATCTTGATCTCCACAAGTGCAAAGATCAAAGTGGTAGTTTACGCCCAAGCTTTGATGCTCCCAAGAATTATTGCAACAAGTTGAAGATGACATAACTTAGGGTTTATAGTCATCAATCTTTTTCCAACAACAAGTTGATGCCTTTATCATGATTTTGGGTGATGCTTTTCACCCAAAATACTTATAGAACAATGATAAAAAGGATATCAATTAGGTTCGGCTGAAATAGGATTTAAAACCCTAGCAAAAGGTCTTTTACAAGAGTAGGCCGAATTTAGCTATGCAAGGAAAAGAGAACACATGGTTTAATCTCATATTTTTGCTCTTTTTTTATAGATAATGGAGGTTACAAGAGTCATTTCCTAATTCATATAGGTTTATTAACATGTTTTGGATAATTTTGGAAATAATATTGCTCTACTAATTCAACTCAGATAATATAACATTTCTAGTTAAGTATCTTAATGAATTATTGTAATCAACTTTGACTTTCATGTTAGTAGTTTGACTAAGCCTCTTTAAAAAGACACCTAATT